TTTTATAAGTAGAACAGGATTAATTAGATTATTACCTTAGAAAATCTTTAAAAGAAAGGAAATTTTATGTTAAAATAATACATTTATGATTAAAGCCGCCAAATTTGTCACATTATAGGTTTTTTCTGTCTCGAAATTATGTATTTGGATTACCCACCAAAATTAAAAACAAAAGGTTGGTGGAGGTATATGTATAGTGTCTTTTACCTTCTAATTTTCTTCATTAAAATTATTGTGCATTATTTAGGATAGAAAACGACAACGTGGCCCTACCATTAACGAGTTGCACAGTATCTAATGAATATGTATATATGTATACTATACTTAGATGCATAATTAAAAAACTTCAACCCAGGAAACAATAAGAGACAAAAATTTTATTTTTAATATGTATGTGTGCATTATATTCAATTAAACGACATATTTTTGTTAGAAGGATACGAACAAGTTGTACTAAATTTCAAGAACATTAACAATTAAAATAATTAATAGCAGTTATGAGTGTTAACATACTGTTACTTAATTAGTTTTAAAATCTGTTTTGGTAATAGATTTGAGTATTTTTCAATGTTAATTTATTCAGTACTTAAAATATTCATATTTTCCAATTAAGATTTTATTATTTAAATGTGGGTGATATAAGTGTAATATTATCCTGTTATCTCTATAATCAAGTAACTCTTTTTTCACAATCAGATTATATTGTTTTTAAAAACAATAGAAATTATATTTGTCTTACCTTAACTGAAATATCATTTTATATTAAAAAAATTATTTGTTAACATATCACGTCAACCAATTAATGATAAATTAAATAATAAAAACTCAATAAAAAAAATACAAAAGTTTTAAACACTTAACATTTACAAATTTTAGTAAAAAATTATTGAAAATATTCAAATTTATTAAGTCTTAAAACTTAATTAAATAAATAGTATATTATTTTATCATCCTTAAAGGCTGCATGTAGCAATTTCTAAGTATTTTAATTAACTTAATAAAGGTATAGTTTGTTAGCTTAATATTCCTAAAGTTATGTGAATGAATTATTAATTTAACTATTGAATGGGTGATGGAATGATAATTGAGTTACTAAAAATCAGTCTGAGTTAGTACTTAAAAAGTATAACTTTAACAATGAAATGATCTCGCCAAAGTTAACATTATAACTTTTACATAATTAAGTTAAATTTTCCATTCTTATTAAATTGTATTGTTCTCTTACACTATTAAAGTACATTTATTTTTTTTTAATTTAACCTGTATATTTATTTCTTTTAAGTTAATTTGTGGTATATGAAATTATCTTATAGATTTAAATCCATTTAGAAAGATCTAATAGTAATATGGAAGTAATAATATTAATAAAATGGGTAGACATTTGACATTAATTTAGTAATAAAAAGAAATTAGTTTATAGGCATATAAGTTTTGAAGAGGTTGGTGAAAGGTGGTATGGGAAGGAATAGAAGTAGTATTTTGTTTGAGGCATATTATGAATGATAAAGGGATGAGGAGAGTTGGAAGCATGAAATTGTTTATATATTGAGAAATAATGGAATGGAAGCAAAGCTAATGATGAAGTTCACGAGAAGACTTTATAGTTCACGAGCACACAACTCACAAAAGACGGCTAAGAATCTTATGTGGTACTCCTTCTTCCCTCCTCCCTCTCTCATCTTTCTCCTCACATATAAATTATCTCCTTTTCTCACCACAGATAATACAGCTCAAAATAAATGCAAATATTTACAAACTAAAATTCAAAGTTAACATAATTAATACTAATTCTCACTTAGATATATAACATATCTTTATATCCCACATGCCATCTCCACAGACATAACTATTAACAATTTTTACATACAAGACCTTATCGAATTTCAAATTATATAATAAAGATTCAATTTAGGTACGTTAATAATGTGAGATTGTTCTTCGTATTTAAAGGTTATGATCAATGTTATTGTCGTAGAAAACTACAAAAACATTTGTTTATCCTATTGTATATAGAATTATTCCTCTTTTTCTCACAAAACTTTTTATAACCATCTTTTTCAACTATGAATACGTTTAAGATTTGCACTTCACTACAAAAAAATAATTTAGTAAATATCCAAATTAATTCTTAAAAGAATGAGTGTGTTAAGTTATTCGTCTTTGATTAAAATTTTTATGTCAATAAGTCTTTGATAAATGTTTTAAAAATAAGTACTTACAAATTCAATGAATAATTTATCAGTCTACACATTCATTTCTCATATGTTTTGTATGATAATATTTATTGATGAAAAAAAATGAAAAGTTTAAAGTAGGTTCAAATATAATAATTTATGCATTTTACTAAATGTTTAAGTAATTAACACTTTGAAAATAACACTTCTCTTACAATGTCCTCTTGTTTAGGAAACATGTTACAATTGCATACGAGGGCACAGTCAAGTTGTGCATTTTGGGTATTAGTAAAAAAGTAATATATTTTTGCGGATAAAATAAAAAATAAACAGTTGAAAGTTTTGAATTTTACCAAAGTATATATATAATGCATATTTTCGAAAGCAGCAAAAATTTGTCACCATAGTTGGTGATGGTTGAATATTATAATGTGGTTGAACTCAAGTTCATTGTGAGTTGTCAAATAGGAGAAATGTACCTAAGTTTTCTTTGCTTATATTATACCTTTAGTTTTTGGGGTCATATTGTTTGTAGAATTTATTCACAATGTAAGTTCTTCTGCATTGTCGTTATGTCAGATGAATTTTCATGTATAATAAGATCATTCGTTTTATAATAATAATTTCTTCAAAAAGAAACCAAAACTGATTAATAACAACACATCAAAATTTAATCTCTGTTTATCATATATTCAACAGTGAATTAGTTAACTTAAGCAATACTGATTGATGAAACATTATAAGATTAAATGGTGATGTGAGAATAAAGAAATGGTTGGAAGCAAAAGAATACAAGTTGTGGACGAAAAGGTCAATGAAATCACAGAAAAACACTGTTGAGTAACATTATGATGTGGTGGTATTTGTGTAAATGTGTCACTGCCAGTTTACTGTACAAAGAAACTCACAGGGAATGAAGCAAACACATTTAAATAACAGAAACCCATATTTGATGTTTGATGATTGCATATGATAGTCCAATGCACCTCGTGCCCATCATTGTCACCCAAAAGAAAAAAAACATACATATTTTATATTCTAATTTTGATCCAAACGTAATTTTTAATTTATCAAATAACTTATAAAACGGTATACCAAATGTGGTTGAATGGTAATTAATTATATGACTACAGTAACATAATATTTCAGTGCACTTGTTGCCAAGCATTCTCAGTACTTTACTTCAATCTCACTTTTCACGTGACTTTGTAGTTTACATTAATCAGAATTTTCCCTTACACCCAGTTAAAGATACGCAGAAGATAATTTCTCTGCTATGTGACTCTTGCTGGTTATGTAAAGTGAAATTGATCCTGAATTATCTTTGCAATGGTAACAGTTTACAGACTAAAATTCAATATAAGTGGAAAAGTGATTATGCAGAAGAGGTAGAGATGGAGGGTGTGAAAGAAAAAGAGAAAGTGAAACTTGGGTGGTGTAGTTCCTTAAATTGAGCAACAGTGAAAACAAATGAATGAAAACTGATTACCAGATCCAACTCTGAATTAGGTTCAGTAATTGATACATTAAACTAATGTGACCCCCACTCACATTGGGATTTTGACATATGATCTAATGAAAGTGAATTTTCTTGTTCACTTGTCTGATTTTAGTGAACCTTTTTCTATGCAATATATTTCACTTTTTTCTGTTTTGGGGGCCTCAACAGATATGAGAACCTCACGCACAGAAATTCGTGCAGGAGGAGCATGATATGGTACTTTTTCTTTTGTTGTTATTCATGTGTGTGTACAGAAAATGTTGTCTAGCATAAACATGAAAAAAATGCTGCAAATCAGTGGGCGTGAAGGATGGTTTCTCACAAATCCATCCTTGCTGGTACAATGGCTTGCTTCTTTTTATTTTATTCATTCACTTCACTTCCCTCAATCTCTCGTGCTTCGGCACAATTTTTTTCTCTTTCGGTTAAATAAGGAAAAGAGAAACACAAAATTCTTAATTGGAGGGTCTTTCTGACCACAATAGCTGTGGCTCATGGCTTAACAAGACAAAGTGACAGAACTCTTGGCCCGTGAAGGTTGCACGTGATCATAAAAGACCTGTGACAATTTGTGTGCCATTGACACCTTATAGACCCATTCACGTGGAGTTTTTTGGTTTGGATTTCCACAAAATCTTGATTTATGACATTAACAATGATACATGTTAAAAAATTAAAGCACAATTTGAGGGGAGGAAGAATCAAACAAGTTGAATGTGATTGATAATCTCCTAGACTCTTACCATTGAAAAAAAAATTTGAGAAGGGTGGTAAATAAAATCCACATCAAGTTCTGAACTTTATCTTTGGCTGGTGTGTGAAGCTCCCATCTACCTTTAACTTGTCTGGTTACCTAGTGTCATTCTGTGATGCTGAAACATGCCGAGGAATATCTTTGTTTGTGTTCACTTTTGTAATTTGGATTCAATCTAGTCACAATAATGGTACTGTTATGAGGTTAAGCTAAGAAAGTTTGACAGATAGAGCAGGTAGATTTGGCCTGAGAGTTTCTCCTATAGAGTAATAATGAAGGGCATGCACAAGCCATGGTTAAAAAACAATATAGTCCCCTTAACTGTCGCTTTGTATGATCACATGCAATGACATTGTTGTGTATGTGGCAAGAGAATAGCAGCTCAATAAACAAATTCTAACCAAAATTCACAAAAAGGAAAAGAGACTAATAAATGAAAGATAAAAGGAAGAAGAATGGGGAATGAAATCATAAATGCCTGACATTTTCAAGAATATTTTAATACACTTGTTTTTGCCTGCACAATTATTATTAGCCTTCAAGTGTTCTCCTTATATAAACAGAGCCGTCACTTGTTTTTTTGGCAACAACACAAAGAAGCTCTCTCTGTTGGTCTCTCATCTCTCTCTCTCTCTCTCTGTCTCTCTCAGCCCTCTGCTGAATTTCTATTCACATTTCACCAGAAGCTACCAACATGAGTGCCTTGAGTTTCAGGGGCTTCACATACATGTTTCTCATTGTATTTCTCATTTGGTCTTCCAATTTTGAAGCCTGCATTGCAAGAAGAGGCAAGCACTGGAGACATAGTAGCAGGGATGCATCGGCTGCTTTGTATAAGAAAAAAGGAAAAAGTTATGGAAATGGTCACAACAAAAACCATGGTGGAGGATCAAAACCAAAGCCTCCATCACATAAAGGCACCCCAACATTACCAAAGCCTCCACCTCATAAAAACATTCCCTCACCACCGTATCCACCACCATCAAACGAAGATAACCCCTCAACTCCCCCACCAAAACCTTACATTGGAGGCCATTCTTCCTCCACCACCTTCAATGTGCTAGATTTTGGTGCCAAGGGAGATGGGAAAACTGATGACACAAAGGTAACTCTTTCAACCTCTTAATGTAACTTCTGCTAACTGGTTAACATGTAAGACTGAGAATTTTCAGTTCATTACAGAATTCAATGTTCCTTGTAGAATTCAAGGAACATCATAGTATGATGAAATTTACTGGAAAAGTGAGTAGAGGCCAAGGGGGATACAGCTTAGGTGGTTTGTGGTTAAAATTTTCTGAAATATTATGTTATTCAAAACTACTTTTGTGCTCACAGTTATGCTCATGTAATTACAAATGTCAGAAAAAGTGAACTGGCCCAAGTACTAATAATGCAGCAATTACATAAATCTTGAAAATTAAGGTTATAGATTTCAATTCGAAACCTTCCCCATTTAACAAGTAATTTTGGGATTTGACTACGGTTTATGTGAGAATTTTCCTTTTTCTAACTTGAAATGATCTGGGTCCAACTAAACAAGTTCATGGTAATTGGTAAACATAATAGGCCATGTGGAGCATAGAAAATTGCTTTCCCTGTCTTTTCTGTTTGTGATCTTGCTCTTCACTCTTCAGTTAGTAATATACCCATTAAACAAAGTTTACAGTGACGTATAATTAGATCAAAATATATAGTGAAAAATACAGAAAAGTGAAGACGCCAGAACAAGCCAAATGGGTGGGACCTACTTAAAAAATTATTCTCGTTACGACAGTTGAATCACATTTTCTACTATAATTTTTAGTTTATAGAACACACACCAGTGATCACAATTCCACCTATTATTTAATATAGTGATTTTATTAACCCAGAGAAAAATTATTTAAATTTTGAAACTATTGAGTTAAAATTCAATAACGACACACATTAATAAAGTTAAGAAAATATTATGAATCCATCAGAAATCGTTCAGGCATTATGACATTTTTATAATGTTAGTGCATTTTAATTAAATTGCTATCTTGAGTTGGTAGTCGAAAATATATATATATTTAGTATACTCATTATTTTATGTGGAAGTTGGTCCTGTAACTGAAACAACTATACATTGAAATTGAATGCAGGCATTTCAAGCAGCTTGGACTGAAGCTTGCAAAGTAGAGGCATCAACCATGGTGGTTCCATCGGACTACGTCTTCTTTGTGGGGCCCATTTCATTCTCAGGCCCATACTGTAAACCCAACATCGTTTTCCAGGTAACATATCTACATAGAGTGAAAGTAGCAGGAATGAACAGAGAGAAAAAAAGAGAAAATAACAGCAAAATAAAAAAAAATGGAATTAAAATGCCAAAAAAAAGTAAAAAAAAAAAAAAAAAAACATGATACCCCACTAGTATGTTCATGAGCCGAATGTGATGTGGCATCAGAAAATAACATCAACATTTCTGTCATTCTGGTAAAGACAGAACACATGCCTGTCATTTTCGTATGTTGTAAATGTAGTTAAAATTAAACAAAAATATACGACCATGATGATAAAGAAGATATATGTAGTTTATTTAAAAGAGTCAAGAAAATTAATTACAAATAACATGTACATTTTCAGGAAGAATAAATTGAGTAGTTTCCTGGAGAGTTGTCTAATCAGTTTCGAAAAATAAACAGAGTTGATTTTTCGAAAAATTATAATAATTGATACAACTTGTAAAACTTTACATTCGTAAATAAAACTTAAGTTAATAGTTATGAGCTTTAGCCAAGAAACCGTACATATGATGGAAAAATATGGTTAAAAAGCTTAGCATAAACGTCAGAATTATGTGACCTAGGACAAACTCTTGACCACCACCACAAAATAAAATAGAAATAAACTGCCTCTTACTTTATATCTTCACAAATTTACCTTTTCACGTGATTGTCCCTGTTTATTATGCATACTGTATCAACCGACAATTCAGTTGAAGTGATGCTAATAAGGTTTGTTATGATGTGTCAGCTTGATGGCACCATTGTTGCACCAACAAACCCCAATGCCTGGGGCAGAGGACTACTACAGTGGTTAGAATTTACCAAGTTGGTGGGAATTACCATTCAAGGAAATGGTGTCATTGATGGAAAAGGCTCTGTGTGGTGGCAAGATCATCAATATGATGATCCTATAGATGATGAAGAAAAGCTCATAGTCCCTTTAAACCAGACAGTACCAAGTCCCCCACTGCCGGTAATTTGTAGTTTTCTGTAAATTTTAAGTAACAATATGAGAAGAATACCTTGCTAGTATTGTTCATACAGTTCTTGCTTTGTAATTTCTTACGTTACAATTTTGTTATCACCTGACCTGAGCCTTTTATAATTACATGATTGTACTAGATTCAAAGTGAGCTGGGAGGAAAAATGCCATCTGTCAAGCCAACTGTGAGGACCATTTTAAACCTTTCACAGAACCAATTTGATTCATGTTTAGGAGTTATTATTGGAATATAATGGAGGTGATTTCTTTATGCACAGGCACTGCGCTTCTATGGGAGTTTTAACCCAACAGTTACAGGCATAACAATTGTAAATAGCCCACAATGCCACCTCAAGTTTGACAACTGCAATGGGGTCATGGTCCACAATGTTAGCATATCATCCCCTGGGAACAGTCCTAACACAGATGGAATTCACCTTCAGAACTCCAAAGATGTACTGATATATGGCAGCACTATGGCATGCGGTAAAATTTCATTAACTTGTGCCACATTTCCTTTTCATTTGAAAATTTATTAAGAGGACAATGTGGTTGATAGGGACAAAATTAAAGTGAAAATGAAAACTCAAGACAAAAAAGAAGAAAACTAAAATAACAGTTACATGCATGTTCTATGATTCTTAAAAGAGCACGGCATTATCTTATCCTATCCACAACCAGATTGGACACGTAGCTACAAAAGGAAAATACCAATGCCTGCTAGTCATAAGCTACATGGCACGTGTCAACAGCAAAATCCACACTGCATCATCCAATTGTAGAGTACTCAGTTCCATAAACAAGAGCTTTTTGTTTTTGCAGTTCTTCCATCACTCTTGTCTTATTGGAATTATAACTTCTGCCTCACATTCCTCTTCAGTCCTCCACACACAATTTAGGCTGGATGAAAATAGCATATCGAGTGGTCCATTACAAGCTACCAAAACTTTGGGGTGGGGAGGGGGGATGATTGCAAATGGACAAAAAACAGAAGTAAAACAAACTATGTAGACTTACTGACATATATGGTCCAAGTTGGCTCACTGTATTTGAATTCCAACTATTGTGCAGGAGATGACTGTATTTCCATACAAACTGGATGCTCAAACGTTTATGTTCACAATGTCAACTGTGGACCAGGGCATGGAATCAGCATTGGAAGTCTAGGAAAGGATAACACCAGAGCCTGTGTTTCGAACATTACTGTCAGGGATGTCATCATGCACAACACAATGACTGGCGTCAGAATCAAAACATGGCAGGTAAAATATAAGAAACCCAATGCACTTTAGCTCACAAAACAAAGTATATGTTCCTAAGTCAAACGGAAAACTTGACTTCAAAATCATTTTATACCATGAAGTGGTTATCATTTTAAAGAATGGTCATGACAGTGAAATCAATAATCTGTTAACTGAATTACTTCTGGGAGCATAAATGAGTACACTGGAAATCAATTTTAAACCTTCAACTGCATTTTACATGATTTTTCAGGTAACATGAGAAATTGCCAAACTTAATAGCTATTCTAAGATGCAGTGAAAATTGTCTTTTCTTGTAGCCTACGATCCAATTGAGCAAACACTTGTGTTTCTTTTAGCAACGCTGAATATATCCAAGTTCTGCCATCATTTCCAGCTCTAGAACACGATGAAAATTATGATCTCTTACAAACTAACATGTACATCTGCACTGTAGGGTGGGTCAGGCTCTGTACAAGGAATACTATTCTCAAATATACAAGTCTCTGAAGTTCAATTCCCAATTGTGATCGATCAATTCTATTGCGATAAAAGAACCTGCAAAAACCAAACATCGGCTGTTTCTCTGGCTGGAATAAACTATGAAAGGATAAGGGGGACATACACAGTTATGCCAGTGCACTTTGCCTGCAGTGATAGCCTTCCTTGTGTAGATGTTTCTTTAACCTCTGTTGAGTTGAAACCAATTCAAGAACAAAACCATCTATATGATCCTTTCTGCTGGCAGACTTATGGTGAATTGAAAACTCCAACAGTCCCACCAATTGGTTGTCTACAGATTGGGAAGCCCACAAACAATCGGATTCAGACAGATCATGATGTATGTTGATCAGATATAAATTAAAATGCTTAGCCTGCTAGATAAAGTATGTATATTGTAAAAATCCTACTATATAGGAAATTTTCTTCATTAGGGTGATACTGATTTATCATTGTGAGAATATACCGGCCCTGCGATTAGCAAGAGGTCTAGAATAGTATAATAGGTAGCCTTGTAGCTGTGGCATATGCAAGAGCTTGAGATATTATTATACGAGTGTTAGCATTTCTGAATAAAACTATCGTTTTTTATACAATGTCAGCACCATGGAATTTCAATCTGAGGACAAATCAATAAAACATAAAATGCTGCAGTCAATCAGTATTTTGTGTTGCAGTCCAAAATACAATTGCGTGCGCAGTTGCCAAGGTTACATTGGCCATATTTGTCTGCAAGTTTTCACAAATTCAAACTTCGGCAGCTAAATACAGATTTAGAAATACACTCACTCAGTTTTCTGAAGTGTTTTTAAAGCAAAGAAAAATTAGTCATGCATAAACAAACACGCACAAATAACATCGAACATGAGTAGTGCATATTTATAAGATTTCAACATATAGAAAAGGAGGTATCTTTCTCTATTGTAACATACATCTGCTAAATAATTAAAATTTTGACCTGAAAACATATCCTTCATTTGGTTCTCCTTCCTTCCCATGCTTCTCTTCTTTTCCTTCCTCCAATGAATGTGAAGAGGTGTGATGCCGCTGGTACAGGGCTTGACATGGAGGAAGAAAGCGAGGTTAATATTGTCATTTCATCAAGCTTATAGGGTGCATGAAGAAAAAATCCCTCCACTGTTGCCTTTAATTTTCTTGGATCCCAAATTTGTCCTCTTCTAACAAAAAACCTATACCATTGTAGTAAGAACGTCTCAAACTCAAATAAACATTTTTATAAATATTTTTCTTCTCTAAATATTTAATGATTTAGTTTTGTATGATTTAAGGGTATAAATAAATATTTGGAAATTACATTAATTGAATACATTTAATTAAATCTATTATTGTTATGGAACCATAGAAATTCCAATTACTTTCTACTGTTGAATATTGAACATGGTAACATTTAAGGTTGAAATATTATTTGCAACCTTCATAGACATTGGTGCATTAATTTTGCAGAAATTATTCCCTGTTTGACATACATTGTGAATAGTATAGAAATTGAAAATCACCTTCTTTTATTTACATATCAAATAAATAATCTATAAAAATTAATTCGTACATAGTTGGTGTTTTATTATTATATTTTTTTTCATCTTCAAAGTGTATATTTTATATTAGGTTTTATCATTCAAGTGGTTTTCATTTGTTGTTGGAAATAGTATATCGGTCTTTCAATTTTTTTTTTCAATTTGAGTTTTTATTTTAGAAAATTTGAGTTTTTATTTTAGAAAATTTGATACAATCAAGTTCTTATCGTTAATTTCATACTAACCCTGTTAAACATGATGTCATGTGTTAGTTCATGATTTTTTTTATTCTTTTAAATATTTTTTTTTATTTTTTATCTTTTTATATATTAAAAAAATTGTCACGTGTCAAACTACATTGTGTCATGTGACAATAATAGTGTGATGAGGCAATAATAATACCAAGTGTCATTGGATTAGTTTCAATTTGGTCTCTCTATTCTTATTTTGTTTCAATTTAGTTCTAACTTTTTTTAAAATTAAATAATTTTATTCCTTTTCAAATTCAAACAAAATTTAATTTGTACTTAAATATTATATAAATATTTTTATCAAAATTGATTATTTTTATTAATACTTTTAACAAATTAGAGAAAATTTCGTGGAGAAAATAATTTAACCTTTAGTTTTTTTAGTAGAGTGCAAGCATGTAAACTATTATTAGTTGATAGGATTTAAATAAAATCATTGTTCAATTCAATAAAAAAGTTAAGTTGGGTAAAGTTTGTGTAGTTTTGTGATTATTAATAAAATTGGATTGCATTACTCAATTGAATCACATCTTTTAAATATTTTTATTAAAATTTGTAACTTTCAAACTCTTTTAAATTTTTTAAAAGATAAAACATATTGAATAGTTTAATATATTAGAAATGAAGTTAATCTTTTAAATATTTTTATTAAAATTTGTAACTTTCAAACTCTTTTAAATTTTTTAAAAGATAAAACATATTGAATAGTTTAATATATTAGAAATGAAGTTAATTAAATATTTTTAACAAAGATTAAGTGTACTTATTGTTTTTTCCACATAATTTACTCTAATTTTTTAAAAATATTTAATAAAAATATCTTTATATATTAATTAAAGTCCGTTTGAATTATAGAGAGACAAAATTGTTTAATTTTTTAAGAAGTTAAAACTAAGTTTAGATAAAATAAAAATACACAGATTAAATTGAGACTAATATAATGACATGGGGTATAACATTCACACGTAGAACTACCACTGCCACGTCACACTGTCATTGTCATGTAGTATAATGTTAATTTGATACGTGGTAAAAAATATTATTTAAGAAAAATAAAAAATTATTTAAAAAAAACTCTTATACATTTTTAATGATGTTAGTATGAAACTAATGACAATCCTAATTGTAACAATTTTTCAAAATAAAAACTCAATCGAGAAAAAAAATATTAAGAAACCAATTTGTAATTTCTAAAAAATTATTATCTTTTAAGTTATTATTATCTTTTGTTTTCGGTTAATAAATAAGTTGAATTGAGAAGGAAAATACTATATATTTGATTCTTTTCAGACCATTCTTCTACCACCATCACACATGTTAAACAAAGTCGTGTACATCAGTTACGACTTTTTATTTAAAAAAAATAAGAAAAATACGATTTTTGAGAATTTTTTCACTGGTTAATTTGTTTTTGAAATGATGTTTCTCAGTTGATTTTTTAAAATACTTATATTCATGATTAAGTTGTGTCGGTTGACACAACTTTATTGTAAAGAAGTTGTCAGCATTTTTTACAATTTCTGACTTGTGAAATTAAAGTTGTGAAAGTACATAATGACTTTTGTATAACTATTGAAGTGGCAGAGATAAAAGACAACTTCTATTAGGATTAAATGTAATTAGTCGTACACTAATCAAAATTGTGGAAGGTTTGAACAATTTTTAGTGAATCAAAAGTTGTGTTTAGGTTAAGTGACTTCTTCAAAAAAAAACCAAGCTTCCATAATCGTATAAGGATTGAATGACATTTTCCAAAAATAAATTATACTGAAGTTGTAAAATGCTTTTACAATTTCTACATAAATGAGTTATACTTACATACACCGAAATCATACAGACGATTTTCATAAAATTATTAAAATAGAAATGTATTTATATGAAATAAAGTAAATAAATTTATAATATAAAAAAATTGAAAAAGTTAAAATGATATGTTTTAGGTACGGCTTTATTATAAAAAATAAATAAATAATAAAAAATCATACTTAAAACATACACTTCTAAATATTTTTAATTGGTTTATATTATAAATTTATTTATTTTATAAAAAAAAGTATGTGTATTAAGAATAGGAGTTTTCAATGTAGTATATTTTAGAACGAGTAAATTTTTACTCATTTTTATCCTTTTTCGCTTTGATCTATGACCTGTATGGATTTATGACCTGCATGGAATCTCTTTTGCATGTATCATTTAGCTCCTTTTCTTGTTCTTGGTGGATTTAGAGTTCTAAGGACTTTGTCCGTTTCCAATTTGGTGTCTCGTAGGTTCGTCTTGCGTTTCAAGTGATTTGCGAAACGTTTCTGAGTTGAGTTGTTATTTTGAGATAATGGAAGCTAGACCTTGTTTTAGTTGTGATTGTAGTGTAAATTTAGTATTTTTGTAATTTATAGACGTTTAAGTAAAAATTGGTGTGTTTGGGTAAATTTGATGTATGTTAAATTAGTATTTTAATGCTAATGTAAACCATATGAGTGAATAATACGAAATGATTATATCGTAATAGTTTATTTTCCTTTCACAACTTTACATTTTCAACATATAACAAATACGAAACTTGCTGAGATCACTGAAGCCACTCTGAATTTGTTGAATTGTTAAAAGATCTGCGTAATTATGGTTTCAATAAGGATTGGCTGAATGATGTTGAAAAACTCAAAAACGTGCTTTGATTCCGCATTTGGAGGATCTTAAACATTAAGTGGCGAAAAGTCTTAAAAAAGTAGTCAAGCTAAACTACATATGTATTGTATGATTACCTTGTAACTAATGTGTTCTGTAATGACTGAGTAGTGTAGCCAAATAAGTTTTGTAGATTTGTGTTGAGAATGAATAGAGAAGTTTGATTGTCAATACAAGGTTTATGCTTTATGATTAATATGTATGAACAATTGTATGAATCATGTTAATACGATGAATAATATAATTTATTTTATATAATAATATTCAATTTTAGTTTATATTATTTGATTGTTTATTTTGTTATCAAAATTAATTTTATCACAATCAATAAAAAAAAAAGTTAATTTATACACATTTTCGGCAGTTTGAGTGGAACCTTTACTTATCCCGTCGGTTTTTACAAAACTCTTGTCAATTCCGACGGTTTTTGCAAAACCCTTATCAATCCCGGCAGTTTTTGCAAAACCATGTTACTTCTCACGGTTTATGTAAACCCTTGCCAATCTCGACATTTTTTGCGAAACTCCTGCAAATCCGGACAGTTTTTGTAAAACTTCTGCCAATCCCTACAGTTTTTGCAAAACCTCTGCCAATTCCAACTATTTTTGCAAAACCTCTACTAATTCCAGCAGTTTTGAAAAAATAAAATCGTCAATAATTATTTACCTCTACAGCTTCTTCTAGGGTTTTTTCAATTTTGAGAATTATATTTTTCGAGGATTAAACCCCGATGACATAAAAAATAATCCTACTAAAATTGCATATATTTTTGTAGTAGAAAATGTCTTGTGTTAAACTTTCATTAGGTGTTATTTTCTTGCTTGATTATTTCTTCTTCAATTTTTCCGTGGAACCCACTCAGTGGGAAGAGAGAGAAAATTAATTGCTAAATGGATGTTGGCATTAAATGAAGGAAGAGAAATTGAAGAATTGGAAAAGCAAAAAGATTCGCAGATTTACTTTGGATGAAAAGGGGAGTGAATATGAAAGAGAAAATGGCGTTTTTATTATTTTTTTTATTTTGCATTAATAATGGATATGGTGAGAATTGATGCAGGGAGAGACTTCACGTGAGATTCTTTCTTTTTCTTTTAACACAGGTAGTTTCATTTGGTGTAGAAAGGGTTT